TTTGGCTAGTTCTCGACACTTTCAAAAATGTTTACTCAAGTTTAAACGCAGCTCTTTCGGTCAATATTGCACGAAAATGCAAGGGCGTATATCAAAATTTAAGTTAGACAATACTGAATTCAATGCATGTAGTTCACGTGTAATAGTTCTTTTAGCTTTTAAGTTAAAACAAATCAAACAGGTTAACTTTTTTTTGCGCCACCCGATATATATATATATATATATATATATATATATATATATATATATATATATATATATATATATATATATATATATATATATATATATATACTTCCCTGATACTTTGAAAAGCTCTATCGTGATCCCGATTCCAAAGACTTCTCCACCTAAAGAAATAGACTTAAGAGCAATTGCACTCACCATCTGTCTTGCCAAAATCCTTGAAGGATTCGCGAATAGACGATTCTTGACCAAATTAGTGATGAAATTGATCCACGGCAATACTCTCGGAATGGTCATTCGACAACACATGCTCTCATCTACCTGTTACAAGCTATTTACGAAGCTGTTGATACAGGAAATAATGCAGTACGAGTATTTCTTGCAGATTTTAGCAAACGTTTTGATATTATAGACCATAACATCCTTCTCAAAGAATTAAACTGCTTAAATGTCGACCAAACTTTGACATGCTGGATAAGATCATTTCTTACCAATAGAAAACAGGCTGTATGAGTTGGGGGACATTGTCTAATTGGAGACACTGCAACGGTAGTGTGCCACAGGGCACCAAGTTGGGTGTGACCTTATTCATAATTATGATCAATAAACTCTTGAATGATTGGAACCTTAGAATAAAATATGTTGATGATACATCTGCAGCTGAGATTGTGCCAAAAAACTCGATTAGTATTTTAGACCTTGTAAGGTCTAAAATAATACTATTTAACAATTAGACAACGAGGCCGACTTGTCTATGAGCGAATAGTCAACGAGGCGAAGCCGAGTTGACTATTTGCTCATAGACAACGAGGCCGAGTTGTCTAATTGTTTTAGTATAAACTTTAACATTAATTTACAAGGAGGCTGCAAACACAATAAAAAATACACAAAAAACATTATAAAACCATTAAAGGTAAACAAATATTTTATACTCTTTTGTTCGCGTAAAATGTTTTACAAAATTCAGTTTTAATTTTAAAATTTCATTGAGTGTATAGTTATTTTGTCTATTTAGTTGCTTTTTCGGGGTTTTTTAGTACAGAATTGTTCAACAAGTCGTCCAAAAAATCATCAGACACTTCGGCAAAAGTGCAAAACGCGAATTTTCCGCCATTTTTAATTTTCTATTAGTAGGCTATCACTAATAGCCTGCTAGTAGCGTAGCCAATCAGAAGTCACGATATGTGATAGCCTACTAGTAGGTTTATACTAAATACTGTTAGAGGCATCCATCAATTTTGTTCCAGCCGAGTGATGAAACTTAATCCAAGAAAATGCAAAGAAATGCTATGCAACTTTATGCTTAACCCGAATATTGTAGAGAAACCAATATTTATCGGTGATCAAGAGATTGAACGGGTTTCAACCTATAAGCTTTTAGGTGTCGTACTTAGTGATGACTTAAAATGGAATAGCCACATTGATTATATCGTCTCGAAAGCTAGCAAACGTTTATACGACCTTAGACTTATGAAATGGGCTGGTGCAAAACCGCCAGTTATTCTTAAGATATACAAGAGTACTGTTAGACCAATTCTTGAATATGCAGTGCAAGTGTGGCAAAGCATACCAGGATATTTGTCTGGTCGTGTCGGAATATACAAAAAAGAGGGTATAATATAATATATCCTGATTGTACGTACAATGAGGCACTCCTGCTTACTAAGGAGTCTCTATTGGCTGATCGAAGGAGAATGTTGTGTAGAAAACTGATGTCAGAAATGTGCACTGTGAGTGAAAACCCATTGTCATTTCTACGGTCAAAATTAGAAGAGAGAACAGTGTCATACAACTTAAAATCTGGCCAATATCATTATGAAAGAAAGATATGGAAAGCCAAGCGGACTGAATCTTTTTTTACATTTAAGTATGAGATGGACAGCAACTAGGTTAAATTTTAACTATAGCTGACTGAAATAAGTTTTTGTCTTATTATATTTAGTTTCATATCCTTCATCGTGTGTATGTATAATGATATATAATGTAATGACATTTAAATTGTTTAAATTAACTTTGTATTTACCACTTGTTAATTCAGTATTTTCTGCAAGAGAGTGGAATAAAATCTATCTATCTCTCTATTTATCTTCTATCTTAATGTTGCGCGCCGTCGTAAGCATACCAATGATGTATTTTCTTGCTTACGTTATGAGAGCGACCGTTTAAATTGATAATACAGATCCAAAACCGACAAATTGTATTGTATAAACTCACAGAAACAAGCAAAATCTTTTTACAAACTTCAAATTTTTGTAGATGATAGTCTTAATAACTTTTAACAGTATTTTTGTGAAAATTTGATTGTAAAAATGAGAAAAAATCGCACTGCACTTTCGTGCGCGAAAAATTTTGTATGGTCAAATATTTGACTATTTGGTGAAAGAGAACTTTCTATCCGAATATCAGTTTGGTTTTAGACTATTTTATTCTACTGCACTGTTAGATTGTACAAATGAATGGTATGTCAACATGGGCCGCCGCCATTGCAACTTGTAGCTGTTTTCCTTGATTTAAAGAAAGCATTCGGTACTGGAAATTACGAAATATTCTTGCGTAAGTTTCAAACGTATGGCATTTGGAAAAGAAGCGCTTACGCTATTACGTTGTTATCCGACACACCGAACACAAATATGTCGGTTAGAAGGAATGCTTTTAGATCAGAGAGAAATAGCCTGTGGCATTCCTCGGGAGGTATAATTAGCCCTCCTCTTCTGTTCATCGTCTATATAAATGATTTGCCAAATTGTCTCAAACACACAACATCTAGAATGTTTACAGCTGTGGGTGAAACATTGGGTGAAATGGAAAGGAGGTCAAATGAAGACCTAATGATTGTCCGAAAGTGGCTGTCTGCAAATTTACTTAGTTTTAATATTGCGAAAACTGAGTACGTTCTGATTGGATTATGGCATGGAATGAATAATATCGATGCCCAACCTGGAGTTAAAATCGGCAGCCAGTCAATCAAAAGAGTGAAACATGCCAAAGTGCTTGGAGTTCAGGTTGACGAGAATGTAAATTGGGGGAAAACATTTTGAATTTATTGCTAGTAAGATATCGTCAGCTATTGGCGCTATAAGAAAACTTAAGGAATTTGTTGATCGAAACACTTTGGTGTTGGTATATATTGCTTTAATTCAGTTTGATTACTGTTGCGAAGTTTGGGATGCACTTGGTAAATTAGTGAACGCCTTCAAAAACTACAAAACATGGCGTCTAGATTGATCATGAATTTCAAAAATGAAGCGCCGTTCAGTCTATTTTAACTTGTAATGCTCTTGGTTGGATATCGCTTCACGAACGCAGGGCGCAAATGAAAGCCGCGATCATGTACAAAACGGTCAATCGTTAGCCCCTCAAAGACTGTGAAATTTTTCAAAATTCAAACTCATTAAATGATTACAATTTAAGGGCTTCTTCGACCAGGCTTTTTATTCCCAGGTCTCGGACGGAATTCCACAAAGCGTTTCAGTTACAGTGGGGCTGAAATAAGAACTTCGGTATCTTATTCGTTTTTCGAAAAGCTTTCTTCCTCGACTTTTGTTTTTGCAAATTAGCTGTCTTGGTTAAATGTATTGTTTAGTTAGTATATAAGCTATAGCATGCATGTTGGACGTGTTATAGTGGTATATAAATTTGTGTTTTGTAATACTCGCATACCTTCAAGTGTGTGTTGAAAAGATTAGTGTGTTTAAATAAATTTGATCATCTTACGCAACTTTGCATATAAAATACTGATATCCCAGCCCGTCTGGGTCTGTTTGTTAAACGGCAATTCCAGGGATGTAGTTGGGAATACCCAGTCACACAAACGAAATGGTAGGCATGATAAATACTGGATATTGCATATTGGTATAAATTAGTGTATTATAGATCAGTTGTTCGTGTTTATCGTTATTTTCCCGCTTCCCCTCCCTAAGAAGACAGCTTACTGCCTCATTCCTGGCACACGGGCTTGCATTTCCCGTAAATTTCAGCCTGCGAGGCAATGGGAGCGGGGCAGCAGTTGGAATAGAGTAGTATTTTCGTAATTATGGATACCATTTGCGTATTTGGACTGTTAAGTTAACCACAGTTAAATAAAACCATGAAATTGATTAGATATTGAAAGTCTTTAGTAGATTTAATTGACAGAGGTTAATTAACCGTATATAGTTAGATATCGCATTTTAGCAAAATTCGGAGTTATAACTTGATCTTATCTGACTTTAGATATCGTATTTCTGGAAATAACAAAATTGCTACAATATTTGCACAAAGTATGCACAGACGTAAAATTTCTCTCTACTGTCGATGGTTTGTTAACCTTTCAGCCTGACGTGTAACCAGGGGTAGATATTCGCGCAAAACTACCATATAAAGTTATTTAATAGTTAATTAGCTAGAGCAGAACATGTACATTAGCTAGAGCAGAACATGTACAGTACCTCAGGGTTCTGTTCTTGGACCTCTTCTTTTTCTGATTTACATAAATGATATTTGTAATTCATCTAAGGTATTTAATTTCTTTCTCTTTGCGGACGATACCAACCTATTATATGCTAACAAAAGTTTAAAAACTTTAGAATCAGTGGTAAATTTCGAGTTGAGGGAAGTTTGTAAGTGGCTAAATGCTAATAAACTAACATTAAATATAAAAAAATCAAATTTTGTAATCTTTCGACCATCGCAAAAACCAATGACCTATCAGCCTACTATTAAACTTTTTGACAATAATTCGAATAAATACATACCTCTCGAAAGTAAGGATTATATAAAATATCTTGGCATTCTCATTGATTGTAATTTGTCTTGGAAACAACACATTAATTACATTGCACTAAAGATTAGCAAAACTGTTGGAATCATTGCAAAACTCCGACATTATGTCCCATTCCATACCTTAATGAACATATATAAGTCATTAATTCAGCCATATCTATCATATGGAGTTGTTGCATGGGGATATGCAGCCAAAAAATATACGGACAAACTTCTCAAACTCCAGAAACGTGTGCTGAGACTTATCTACTTTAAAGACAATCGTAAACACTCTATCCCTTTATTTATCTCTTCAAACACCCTCCCTATCAACATGCTATACATTAGAGAATCCGCTAACTTGTTACATGATATTTCTAATGAAGTTGCACCAATTGCTCTTCAAGAATTATTTATCACAACATGCGAGATTCATAGATATAATACGAGAGCAGCTGCGAACAAGAATTTTTACATCAATTCGTCACGATTAGAAATCCAAAAACGCTCATTTTCGCGATTTGGTTCTTTTATCTGGAATAGTATTTCTTCAAGTTTCCGTACGCAAAGGAAACATACCTTCAAAACCAAATTAAACAAAACACTTATGACAATTCTACAGAAGGAAAATGACCATATTGATCTGCCCTTGATAATAAACAGATTGCCTATTGAAACCAAACCATCCTACAATTGATTGTATAATCTCAATTTTTGTGGTTAATTGTATAATTATGTGCTCAAATTCATTCCTATATTTAGCACTTTAGCGAGATTTCAATATTACCAATTTATTAACTTTACATAAGCAAATATATTGGCTTCAGCATGCAGTTCTGCTTGTAACTTTGTAAACCTGCAATTATTTAACTTATTAAGTTCTTTATCTTGTAATTCAGTTATTTCTATAATTATCCCCCTCTCATAATTACATTATATCACTACCCGCCCCGATTAGCTTGGCTACTTGCGGCTAGTGAAAATTCATGTAAATATATCTGTAACTGGAAATAAATATGTGTATGTGTGTATGTGTACATTGCTTCTCTTGCAAATCTATCTGGTTATAAATTAACACGTAGTGCTCATCAGGATTTTGCCTGACATAAAGCAAAAACTAATATTTTAGTTTCGCTTGGAAGCTTAAAATTTTATGCTGACACGAATGTGCGTTGTGGACTTCTAAGACCTTGACAGCCAATTGCGTGTAACCGGGAAAACCTCCATTTGTAGTGGACAAAACCGTACAAATTAAATAAACATATTAAATAAATATTAAACAACATAAAATACATTCAAATACTTTTCACATAAGACTACCTCCCTTTCCCCCACTCAGTGTTGCCATTATTTCCCATCATCCCCGAGCCGGCGGCGCGAAGCGCCGTGCGAGGGTACTAATTCCCCCCGGCTATTTACACCCGGGGAAACGAAAGCATTAGGAAAGTCTGAAGTTCATCAAATATCGCGGGCGTGGGTCACTGTGCGTGTTTCGGTCACTGAGCTATAATACTACTGGAGGACGTGCTCCTATCTATCCTTCAGTCAAACGAGTGTCCGGAAAAACATGGCGGATTTTCATGTTTGCTGACGCCAATTGGTTCCTCCGGCTCATGGCAATTACCACTGACCAACCGCGATCCTACGCTTGAAGTAAAATCCTTCCCCCCCCTGGTTTTTGCAAAAATTTTGATCATAATTTTCGAGTTTCGACTGAACATTTTGATATTTTTGCAGTCGAGAAAAAAGTGTGTTAGTTTTAAGTTTTTAGTCTGCTTGTAGATGAAACAATTCACTCGAAAGGATTATTATATTTCTTGTTTTCAGGTAAGATTCACAAAAGTTTTATTTCTTTTACTTTATTTAAGTTCTAGCTTGCCAAAGCTTGGCTGCTTCGGGCAAATTTTATAACTTGCCATTTCGATGGAAAAGCATAAATAATTATGTCAAAAACTACCGTTATAAGCAGCAAATGTATAATATTGCTAATTTCAACAATATCACAGTAGCTTGTAGCTTTGTATCCTCTTTTTTGTTGTTCTTTATATTCAAACTCATTCTCATACTGTATTAATTGTGTCTCATATCTTGGGTTCAAAATCCTTTTCCCGACTTGTTTTGTTTTATATTACTTTGAAATAATGAAATTCGTGATTGGTTTTAACTTTTAACTACCAGGTTTTTGTAGCAGTATTTATTTAGGATGCATGTGCACAACCTACCTTTTTAGTACCCTGCCAGTTGCCACTCTGGCACTTTAAAAAATTATTTATTCAGCATTTAAACCTTTATTATAAGTGATTAATAAAGGAACACTATGCCCTACTTTGTTATCCTACTCAGTCCAATACCAGATAATTTTACTTGTTAAGGGGAAAGTGCTAGTGCACTCAATTGCTTAATAATTTTAAGTCATATTAAACATCATTTTTTATTTGTATCCCCCCCCCCCCCCCTTCGATATTCTAGCACATTTTACTTGTGGATCCCCCCTCTACACTGTCACA